GTAAAAGCTGCCTGTGTTCATATAAAAAACTATTGGTCACATTGGGTTCTTCCCACGTATGAGTTTGACCGCTATTCACATGACTGACTCGAGACTCCGACTTACATGGCCGGAGTAAATTCTTTTAATATGACGGAAGCATTCACAATCTATTCCCGAAATAATTGAAATATGATGACTTATCTAAGGCTCTCTAAATGTGCAATTTTTAGTAGACCGCATGCTTTTATGCGCAAAATTCACACACGCAAAAAATTTGCAAGGCTGAATTCATATTCTTGTATCTCCAACAACTACACATTAACTGCTGTAGGCTCTTGAATCGTCTTTCTGTCAGTCGTCTACGATTTCATTTTCTATGTTCTCCATTTTGATTCCCGTAGAGATGTTTTCATGAAACAAGATATTTGACCATCTTGCAATTTCAAGTTAAAATGAATACGTGCTTTTGCATAAGGAGTGTTTTGCGTCATCACAGGAAGAAACTGTCTGGCGAAAAAAGCAGGGCCAACTTTTAAGTAACATTTAAAAAAACCAACGCGCTAAGATCAATTGTGCAAGTGCACGTTCAAAGAGCACAAAAATCTATGGAAGATTTCAACCTTAAAACCTAGATGAAGAAAAATGATTTCGCCCAATCGTGAAAAAAAAGAAGATATTTTTAACTTAAAATGAGACAATTTTCAAATTTATCTGCAAAAGATATTTTTTAAAATTCGATTAATCTGAAAGAAGTTTTAATAACAATATCAAAATCATTTTAATGATTTGGATATTGGTCATAAATGTGTGTGTTCCAAATGTCTGAAACGAGTCTTGGCTATGACGACTTCATACAGAATGTCGCCTCAATAGCGTTTTCTTTCCGTTTCACATCCTGTTTTGACTTGAGCAGACTACAAAGAGAAAATAAAAAGAAGTCACCGTTTCTAGCGATAAAACGAAGTAGGTAAACATAAATTTGTCACTCTCCAAACAACGTCAAAATTCTACGAGACTTCATGCATGGTTTGTCTCCCGACCGGGCGACTAAGTACAAACGAAATTCAGAGTGGTTCTAAAGGGCGTTTTGTTTTGTTTAATGGAAAAAAATATATTTATAAAAAAAGTAACATTTAATCGAAACAAGAATAACTTTTCACTAATTTCACTGGTGGTCAGTAGACAAAGCCGACTCGATGGAGTGAAAGAGACGAAAAACGTAGATGGTTCATCCTAATTGCTCCTTCACATTGAAAACAATGATCGGTGGAACCAGCTCTTAATCATACTGATTTCCATAAACAATCAACTGTCAAGTCCTAAAATAACACAGAACCACAAAATTGATATTAGAATATCAGCGACAAGAAAATAAACCCACATTTTCCGTGGTTTTGTGCGCTGATTCACTGCCGTAAGTGGTTAGCCAATCGGGTTTTTCATGTTGGATCCGAAAGCCGCAACAGTCTAGAAACTGATAACGATAGCATTTAAAAAACCGTTCAGTTAGACACACTAACTTAAATTGGTCATTAAAGAAACGTTTAAAGCTAATTTGGTCGTCTAAGATCTTTCCAGTGATAATTACAGACAAGCCACGCTAAGTTCTTCCTCAAAGTTGCAAAGCTTTGACTAGAGTATACTTTAATTTTTCATCAAATAAAGATATAAGACTTTTGAAGGTTTGAAATTAACCTTGTATTAACGCTATTATTTTCTTACGTAGAGCCAAGGCAAGATCTGTGTTGCACGAATTCGAAAAATCTGAAAAACATTGCAGCAATGGATCGAAAGGTGTGAAGCTCCGAGAAAAAAGAAGCCCTTAATGAAGATCCTTGATGAATATGAAATTACCAGCATCCACCGAAGTGTACAGTTTAAAAAAAATACACAGATTGTTTTAACTCTGTATATCTCACCAAAAAGACATGCAACGTCGTGCTAGCTATTGTTTGATCGCTTGAGCTCTCAAAGGATTAATCTGCAAAAAGTTTAGTTATTTGTTTTTGTTAAACGTCACACGAACCTTGTTCTTCAGTGTCAACGTTTCAAGCGCCAAACTTGACTTTGTTAACTTTCTGAATAAAAACTGTTCTTTAGACACGGTCTTATATGCCGACAATTCAAATAAGAGGAAAATTAACATGAGAAACTTTGTGCGAGTGACCAGTGTGTACAACCTCTACTTTAGCTCAACCCGTTCGTGTTAGTAGGGAAAGCTCATTCGATAAACATTCGACTGGTTTCAAAGGCAAGTACAAAGCTCTACAAAATACGCGATATGTTCTATGACAGTGGCTAGGTTGGCAATCAAAACACGGATTTTTGCGTCGCGGGATGCTAAATGGCACAAAAGAAAGCAATCTTCATCGCACACAAAACGGATAAAAACAATACACTTAAGTTAATACTCACAACGCTTGCAAATCGTTTCAACACTATAATTATGCCGTGTGTTTGGCTATATCTTAACTTTAAAATACGTTTTAAGCTCAGTATCGAAATTTTGTCGAGAAGTTCGATGATTTAACATTACCTGTGACTTTAAGACTTGTTGATAGACGAAGTTCTTTGCTTTGACAAACGAAAACAGTAGGAAAGATCCTTGTTCAATGGTGATAAGCTCGGTGTGATTTTACTGAGGAGGTTTTGGAACGTATCTGTTTAAAGACATAAAATATTTGAGTCAGTGCAGTATGCTACCAGGTCGTCAAAATTGTTGTCACGAGCCAGTGAATTAACTCCGCATTTAAAGTGACACGGAGAATACAAAAGAAAGACTTACCGTTCACATTATCAGAGCTCAGTCGATTTTTTTCTCTTTTCTCGATGGCCGAGAGAATTTAAGACAAAATTCTTCCAACTTTTACATACTCCTATACAGAAATACACAACGTCCGTTTTAACCAGTTACATAGTTCGCGCTAATTTTCATATCGAAATCATTAACTGTAAAAAGTATTTTAATGCAAATTTCTTCTTCACTCAAATGATAACAGACGGAATTTGAATAATTTCAGAAAAAAATTATTTTGAGTTTTTGCGAGATTCCTTCGCCTATGGATATTCATTTCTTGAATTAATGTCAATTATCTGCATTTGCAACTAAGCCAAAGATGTTGGTTATCTACGATTATGTTCACACTGAGTCTCGACTGAAGACTGATAAAATTATAATTCTTGGAATTATCAAACCACAGTTGACCTTCACACTGCCCATAAGTTAATGCGGACTTTAAAACAAATTCCTCGCTTAACCAAACATCTCCTAGGAAACATTTATAGTTTGCAGATAAAAAAAAAACAATGAATCTGACAAGAAAAAAGGATTTTGTTTATCTTTTATATGAAAGTTTACTGAATAATATTTCACACAAAAAAATATTTCAAGAGCCTTTGTTGAAGCCTGACTGTGTAATTTTTAAGTTTAGAACTATTCCGTTGGCCTGAACATATAACCTTCTCTTCAACATGAAGTACACATCAATATTTAAATCTTCTGTCTGGCGGGTAATCCTCAAAACAAACTCACACAGCACGTCACAGTGTAAAGGACACAAGACCCACTAATGAATGGAAAAAAAAAAAAAACTTTCCCAATAAATGATGTACTGCCAAATGCAGAAGATGTTCCTTGTTCATTTCCAAAACAGAATGAGTATTGGCTACGAAGGAATTGCGGACAATCAGTCAAAACTGTCACTCTAAATTTCTAGACTTACTACAGAGAGTGAGAGAGAGAGCAAATTCTTACGGCGCCGTGAACAATTTTTAGCGGTATATGAATTTTAACCAAGTGAAAGTTTGTTACTTTGTTCTTTAATCGATTTTCTTGAACATTTGGCAGGATTCCTTTGGGCTAACAAACACCAGAGAACAAGTCGCAACAAGTAGTGCCGCCAACCTACTTCTTAAGGCACGAAGAAATTTTGCGAAAATCGTTATTGCTGCGATAGAACTTTCTACAATGAGTCGCAGAGACTTGACTTTGAAGAAATATACAAGAAGCAGTTTCACGGCTGAAATTGCTGCCATGGCAATTTGCATTGTGTATTTGATAGCAAACTACTAAAATTAACCCCAAGGATTTCTCTCAGCAATCTCCCAAGGATATAGAGGAAAGTCTCATCAGTACTACCCGGAGCCTTTGGTTTCTTTTTTAAGACTCCCTGACTTTTCAATTACTCTGCATCGGTAGTTTACGAAAAACTCGTGGTAAAGAAACTTAATCTCCGAAAATGTTCCACGGAGGCCCCCGATAAGTGGAAGGGGATTTGTAATTCGTTATTAGAGTTTTTAGACGGGGGCCATTTAGAGGAGGGGCGGGGAGTGGTAGATCTCACGGGAAAGATTAAGACACCTAGGGCCTATGTGTAAGGTGATATTTTTCTTCCGAATTGTCACCCGGATTTAATGAAAAACGATCACAGTAAGGACTATTTGGTGGAAAACCTACGATATATAAACGGCAAGTGAAACTACCGGCCGGGGTAAGAGGTTTTATATAGAGGGGAGGCTTATAAAAAGAAACAAAAAAACTCTAGACGAATATTTATTTATCCATTTGTTCACAGTGAGTGTGGCTAATTACACCCATCGCGCTCTCCTCTATATCATTTCCCGCGCGAAGTCTGGGTTGAAGTGAGCCGGAGCCTTTCTCAGTGATGTCACGGCTCAAAGCAATGGCCTAGGCTGGGCTAAAGACCGTGAAAACATTACGCTAATGTCATATAAAAAAACCACTCAATTGTGTTTATTGCCTACTCGGAAACGTCGAACATAGACTGAGGCGATCAATAAAAGGTTGATATCTTTTCACGGTGACTTGCAAAGATTGTTAATGACAACTCTGTGTTAGTGATCGTGCCATAAACAAATTAATAACAATCGCTGCACTCAAAACTAATGAAAAATAGTCGAACTCTGCCATTCAAATGCCATAGAATTGATTTAGGCTTTATTTAAAAATTAAAGAACTTGTTAACAAGGACATGGGAGACGCAGTACTTCAATCCAAACAAAATTTTAAAACACTTTAATTGAGGCAATTTGAAAAAATATATACAGTGTCATTTTCTATGTATCAGTGACCCCGTACACAAGTTTGGACCAGCAACATGTATGTGAATGGGTGGGGACCAATACCTCATGAGGATGTAAACTGATAGTGTCCTCTGGAATGACTGACAAGGTGTGTTACCAGAATCGCTCTGTTGGGGGTCTATCAGACGTCAATCAGACGTCCACAGCTTAAATGTGCGATCGAAGGAGCTGGACACAACGTACTGACCATCTGAAATGAAAGAACTACTTTGTAAGAAGACAGAGAGGAAGTTGCAGTGCGGTTAATGTGCGATGGCTTTCGAGCAAAGTATAAGGCCTCAAGCAACACAAGCAGGCAAGAAGTCTAGAAGTTGTCTAGGACTGATCATCCCCCCCCGAACTCGTCTCGACTCTTCCCGCGGGCGCAGAAGGGCGCGTTTGCAGCGCTGAGAATGAGGGCCTGTTATCGAAAACAAACGAACATTTTGGAAGAATCTCCCGTCGGATTTTCTTTCAGTATTGTAAGAGTTCAGAAGCCATATCTCACAGAGTACAGACCTGGTGAAACATCGACACAGCTTATTTTCTGTTCGTGACCTGTCAGAGTCTTGAGAGGCGCCCAGCCAGGGTGGGACCAAACCTGAAAATTAAAACTAAACTTAACTTATACAGTGTAAACTAAGCGATGGCTAAGGTTTAAAGCGTTAGTCGTGCCCAAAAAGACTTGGGCTCTATGGTTACCAACCTACATTATCGACTCAGTTGATAAATCCGGTCTTAGATCCCCTCTCCACCCCCCAACAGATGCAGCACAACAGTATCTTTAGAAACTTACCCCCCCCCCTCAAGCTAAACAATAGTCGTGTTTTCATGCTTACAGCTGAAAGCTTCGCATTTCTAAGGTTGAAAGGGAGGAACTCATCTTGAATTGCTTGCGTGGATCATTTGGAAAGCTTCTGAGTTCGAAGATAGATAATTGTCCATCTTATTTTGCGGGAGACATTATAATCGAAGGCATAGTTTCTTTCCGATTTGATGGCTTTATCCCATGAAATACTACAAGTTCCCTCTCATTGGCGGAACTTAACTGCCGACTCACTAAACTGAGCTACCTGGTTTGGTGGCTTGAATTTAAAGACAATTTTATTTTAAGTTTGCCGACAAGCTTAACTTAAAGCGAGTTGGAGGGCAGCTGTTTTCACGATATTTCCGATAGGCGTTCGCAAAGCAATTTGAAAAAACGCTTGTAAACTAATACAGTGTAAACTGAAACAGTGTAGACCACACAATGTAGATTGGACAGTATAAGCTATACTAAGCAGATAAAACAGTGTTAACTGGAAATTGTGAAAAGAAAAAAAAAGAATTCATTTATTAACTATGCCAAAACAATGTAAACTGCTCTTAGGTAAAAAAACTTTACGCACTGATAAGAGAAGAAATGAATTATTAAGGCCGCTTTCTCTCAACCAAGATATCTAACACTCTCTTTAAGTATTTTTTGTGCCTTACAAAATTAGCATTATGTTATTCGCGACACGAGGCCGAAAGGTTGGGATAAAAAACCAACACCGAAAGCTTTTCCCTCGTGACATTTTTCCAGCTACAACTTCAAATTCATCCACACACTTACAAAAAATAGTAACCTCTTCTCTATTTATCAACTCTACTCGCCCCATGAATGAGAACTATAACAACATCCATTTACTAAGTTACCTTTACTGTTTTGTCGTAGGATGCCGAAACCAAGAAGTCATCTACACAATGAAAGAAAAATATTTAAGAAAACTAAATGAACAAACTAAACTGCAGCATCTACAGAAATATGAAGAGAACCACGAGAAATATCTTGCTATTTTATCATGTAAAACGAACAGATTCCATGTTGCCACGTGTCCGTACAGTAAAAGTTCACGTACGACGGTTGGGCCTCGTGAGCCACTTTTTTGTTTTTACCCCATTTCCACGTCAGATCATGTAGAATGAAGCATTTTTCAAACTTATTAGAGATAACACGGCTTACCGTGAAACTTGACGTGTGATATAAGGTTGGTATGAGCAGGAACAGTGTACACGCACTGCCTCTTCCTCAAGTCCCAAATCATAATTTTCTGATCTTCACTTCCGGTAGCGACATGATATCTGAGACATAAAGACCCCTTCATAGCGTCACATTCCAAACACAAGAAAACTTCAGTCCAAGCACACGTACAAGTTTACACAATTTCATCCGCACTACTTTTTTACCTCCTAAATTTCTATCTCAAATTATGTTTTTAATTGGATGAAATAAATTTTTCATTTGTACGTAACATTCAATTGAGCAGATTTAAGTCTAATTTATATCAAGCAGCGCCTCTCTCTCTTCATAAAACGACGGTTTTCTGCCACTACTCCAATCCTTTATTAGTTCCATTTTCCTCGATGTCTTCAGATTGCTCACGCGAAAAAGTTTGGTCGATGAGAAATTTATTATTGAGAGAAAAAAAAAATAAACACAACAATTGTTAACTGAGCAGCACTCGATAGCCAATCAGAACAAAGCATTAACTTCACCTCAGCAGCTCGCGGAGCTAGCAATAAGATAATTTGATATGTTTGGCATACTTTGCTTGGTCGTAATTTCTTTGGTCTAGGTTTCACGCATACGCAGACACCCAATCGATGGGTACTCTTTAGCCTGCAGTGCCGGCGTATTTTGGGCGCACGAGTGCACATTTTTCCCTTCCCCTCCCTCTCCCCCTTTGCCCATTTTTCCACTTAACACCTACTCCCTCGGAAAATATTTCCTCGCCCCAATCCTCCCCATTTACCAAATCTAAGATGGCGGCCTAATACGAAAATGTGCATTCGTGCGCCCAAAATACGCCGGCACTGCAGGCTAGGTACTCTTTGGTGTAACTCACCCATCAGGTGCAAAGTCTATTCCTAGCACCTTTTTCAGATGTCCATCCAGGGACATGATACACTGACCCGTTCTGAGGTCCCATACCAGGCCCCGCGCATCGAGCCCACTGAAAAAATAACAGAGTAGCTTCTTTCATGTCTGCTTTCATAGGAGCTGTACACATAACAAAAGGTAACTATGTGAAATTCATGATGCAGTCCAACATTGCCTCCTCTTTTCAAATGTGTTACTCGTGTGTAACTTCTATCGACTGTCCTTGGTGGCAAAAATGGTTCAAAAATGAAGAGCTGACCACTTAAGGGATAAAAGACGGGCATTGAATAAGGGATGGTTGCCACGGAAATCCTTTTCAAAATTCCCTGATAAAAAATAGAATTTCCTTAACAAAACAATCAACATGCACAAGCAGCCACTAAGCCACTTGTACCTCCCTTCTTTGAACCCGTTGAGTTTTTTTTTTTTTTTTAATAAATCACCACTGAGCATTTGTAAAACTGCCGTGATAAAACATATCAGACTACAACAAAAAACATTCTTAAGATCATAATGATAAAGGTCTTCCACCCATCAAAAGCAGTTACAGAGTGGTGTAACAATTGAAATTATTCCTGAATTTAAATGCAAATCTTCAACTTTTCCTAACTCAACCCATAATTCCCTAACCCCAAAGAATTTTCCATATACGTTTGGCAACCATGACAGAATCATTAGTTAAAACAATCTAACAATTGGAAGAGTAAGGAATCATACCATGTGGCTGCAAGTGAGCCATCCACCTGAAATGCAATACTGTACACCTCTCTGGAATGACCCTCCTACAATAAGAGCATTCACAAACCATCAAATAATCATGTAAAAAAGAAAAGAAAGAAATCATTTGGAAACAGAGCAACTGGAGTAATTTTGAATACCTGATGGAGGACCTCTTTTAGCTGTTCCAAATCCCATAGCCTCCAGGAGTGATCAAAACTAAACAAAGACCCACACATCAATCCAGTAAAAGGAAAAAGCAGACTTAATATTTTGTCTGACAGTTAGGAAATGAATAACCATGGACTGAATTACTGGAACTAACAGAAGTTAACACTGCTCACCAACAAGATGCAAGAAATCGCCCAGATGGATGGTAGGCCACACGGGACACACGCTTCTCATGTCCCTCAATGTTTGCAAGTGGTGTGTCCCTAGACAGTTTACCAGAAAAAGTACCATGTAAGTATCAACCTTCTCACTGCCACAATTTAACCTTCAAACCCTAGCATCAGTATGCACATTCTCCATACCTCCAGTACTGACAAGGAGATTTTGATTATCAGTCAAGAGCTCTTTTGGTTAGTGATCATTTGTTTAATTCTCATGGCCTTAACGTTTAATTCAGTGGTGATATTGTAAGGAGCAGTGTGGTATTAGTAACTCTTAGGGGTTAAAGACTGAATCATTGATATGTTTCACCAAGCAAGGTTAGTATGTGCACTGATAATGACTTCTGCTACAGGTGTAGGGTCACCACAACATCAATCTGATTTTGGTTGTTTTTTGTTAAATGCCACATGGTGTCACACATTTCCATCAATTTCTCGCCCGTCAGAGTTAAAACTTTTGATTTGTAATTGACTGAGTATGGAATACCTGGTAAAGGAAATTTCACTTAGTGTGGTTTGAAATGAGAGAAAAAGATTTAACTGTGGATTACAGCAGCAATCCCAAGATTAAAACCTTATAATTTTCAAGTACACACAAGCAAGGCTGAATTTCTCAAATATTGAAATATGGACTCTGAGATTCAAACTTCCATTGTTAGATTCATGTACACTGCTAAGTGGAAATACATGCAAACTTCATGTAATCAGGACATGGTAATTTTGACATGAGTCAAATTACATGCAGACTGCATGTAATTTAAGGTGTGTAATGGTTCATGTAAAATTTTACGCGTGCACAACACATGCATAATTGTATATGTGCACGATCCTTCGCAGTAAAGCACTATTTAAGCAATAGTGAAAATCAGACCTGAAAAAAATTCAGGCCTGTACGGGATTCGAACCACTGACCTCTGCGATACTAGTGCAGCGCTCTACCAATTGAGCTAACAAGCCAACTGGAAGCAGGCCATCAAATTAATTCGACATGAACCCGTAGATGATAAATCAAACAACAAATATATATGAAATACATATATATAAACTGCGGTTATGAAACGTATATGTGCACGATCCTTCGCAGTAAAGCACTATTTAAGCAATAGTGAAAATCAGACCTGAAAAAAATAATTTGTGCTTAAATCCACCATCTTGCAGGTCCTGCTATTCCTGCAGCCAGTAATATACCAACCACAATTCTTTTCACCACTACCCTCATGCTGATACACATATGACAGGCTGGATTGAAAATTAATTATGTTTCAGTGCCATACAGACAAGTGATGATAATAAAGAAAAATGTTAGATGGTTATATCAACTGTGTGATTCCATACATGTTCAATGCCCACAAAAGCACAACACCGTCTGCCTCACATGATGCCATGCATGGTCCTGATTCATCTAAAGACAGTGTAGCTTGAGGATGGAACACAATGGAGCCAACACGCTCATTGTGACCTGCAAATAAACAGGGACATAATCTTCACAATTTGTTTGAAAGTTACATTGCTGTTAGTACGAAGAATTTTAACTAATGTCATCAACTATGTAAAGAAGAACAGCACAGCATCAAAACTTCTTCATCACTTATTACCAAATTAACAACCCAAAAAAAAAAAGTTGAGATACATTGTATTAAAAGAGAATGATTTAAAAAAAATTAATGGAAGAGAAAACTATGGTACTGTACATAATTAAATTTTATAAACTGTTGAAAAATGGAGAAGAAAATCATTTATGATTGACAATTGTGGATTTAAGGATATTTGCAGTACTCGCAGTTTGAAAGTAACCAAAACACACTCAACAACATTTGTCAGAATACCTCGCAAAACTGCTATTGGTTCACAATCAGGAACTGACCACAGTTTACACAAGCCACTCCTAAAACCAAAAAAGGACAAAAAAATAGTGTTGTTCAGCCATACTATGCAGAATGCTTGCCACATAATAATCTAGTTTAAGGCCATGTCCACCATTGAGCTTTCTGTAGCTCAGTGGTAGAACATCAGACCACCAAATCAAAAGCTCTGGTGCTCAACAACTTAATGGGGATTCAAATTCTTATTTTTCCCTCTGTAATGAGAGAACAAAATTAATGAACTATTCCTGTAAAAGGATATGTGTGGTATGGTATGCCTTTACTGTTAATAGGGCTACATGTGAGTCTGTTTAAAGCCTACCATGATGCCGTGGCTAGCATGGATGAGTCTGGAGAGAACTGGCAGTAAGACAGTGGTCTATCATCACCAATTTGACTACAAAAGTTGTTCAGACCCTGCAAATCAAAACTCGAAACTCAAAATTTCTTTTGTCAATACAACAAGACGAAAAACCTCATTGTTTTCAAGCTACAGGTACAGTATCATGTGCACAGACCCGTAGCTTCCGATGTAACTCCTGTGTCTTGGCAGCCTTCTCAGGATCAGGTCTAGCTTGCTTGATACGCATCTGCTTTAATCTTTCACTAGCCCTGCAAAACCAAGACATTTTTTCAGCAAACCAGAAATTCATGTACATTAGATTTTTGACCACTACATGGTGAAAAATGTGTAAACAGACCAAAAGATTGACAGACAGATAGAGCAACTACATAAGAATAACAGAAACAAGAAGTATACATATGCAAGTAGAACTACAGCACAACATGACATTCATGTCAGTACAGTTGCCTAATGTCTAGTGAGATGAACTCCATCTCTAGATAAGCAAATTAACTCCAAGGTTATAGTGTCAATATTCAAGGTGGTGAAGTAGTAGTATGTTCTGAGTGCCTGTTTGACCAGAGAGCTGGCAAAATGTCAGGAGAACTCAGTGAAATATCATGTAGGATGAGGAGAACATTTTTCAGGTTTTAATTTTGAAAGTCTACTTCCTTCAGCCCAATCAAAACAAAATGTATAGCAGAAGTCAAGTGTCAAAATGTGCATTTTCTGTTCAAACTTGTTCAAACCATCCACCCATGAAACATCAACCTTACGAGTACTCAGTGAATAACTTGAAAAAAATAATGAAAAATTGCATGTTTTTTTGCATGATACCAAACCTTTAGGTACTAAACCAGATTGTTTAGAGAAAACCAAGAGAAGGATCATGGAATAAAATCATAAAAATTAGTTCCCAGCATGAATTTTTTGTCATCTTGACCTGCCAAAAAAATTTTTTCCAATAAAGCACAAAAACACTTTCTATCCACAATTGAAATACATCTTCAAAACTTTTTTTTTCTTTTATACTCATTCTAATCAAATTGCAATGGGTCAGTCACAGGGACTAACCGTGGTAAAGAGTATTTAGCCATCCACAATCGAGCTATTTTAAGTTCAGGATCTCCTTCATGGTACCACACCTCTTCTTTAACTTCCTGACACAAGAAAAAAAAATGTGAAATCAGTATGGTTGAACCTCAATAATGTGAAAACAGTATGGTTAAACCTCAATCTTGTGAAATCAGTACGGTTGAACCTCAATAATCTGGACTCACCAGGACTGGACTTAGTGCAGATAATCACGAGTCTGGATGATCGAAAATATGAATTTAAATGTTCCTAGATAATGGCACCAGAGAAGCAAGTCTGGATAATCAAAAAATCCTGATAACTGAGTTGTGAATAATCAAGGTTTGACTGTAGACAGTTCTCATCAAACCCATAACACGCCTTTCAACCAACACAAAACGCTCAACTCTACACCAATACCTTTCTGTTTGCCATTTGACAGCAAATAGAATTTGAAACATTTGGAGAAAAATTTTGCACAGTAAGCTGCCAATTTGGCAACCTCATGACCTCTGTGGCAGTGCTTTCAATAAGATTTGAAATAGGTGGCTACCTCGGTACAACATCCACCGGAGAGCGACTTGATTGCGACTTAGCGTGGCGACTGCGACTTGAGCGCGGTGAAATATACCCGGCGACTCGCAACAGAATAGCCGCCGGAGCTCCGGCGGGTGCCAGGTCTTATTGAAAGCACTGCTGTGGTGGTCATGAGGCAAGCTGTAGTGTCAAAGTTCAGTCAGTTTTCTCCATATTTTTTTATGAAAGGTCTGGTGGTCTCTTTCTTTTCAGCTTCTAAAGAATCACATTTTGAGATGTCTTGTGATTCTCCAAAAACATTTCCAGCCATAATTGCTTACTCCAAAACAGGTGCCCTGGTTTGTCATTTAATATAATACAGCACAAATGAATAAAGGCTGATAGTTTCGAAAGAAACTGTTTGGGGCTGCATCGGTGGGAGTAACGAAATAATTTTGATATATCAACAAAGTTGAAATGGTAAAGTGGCCACCATAAGGATTACAAAAGCTGATGTTTCGAGCGCTAGCTCTTCGTCAGAGCACAAGCTGTCTTTTTTAACACCATTTTTTGTCAAAATTTAACACCAAATATTTATTCACAAAAATAATGCACTTAATCTGAAACAGAGACATTTCACATTATTTTTTACATTTCACAACAGTACACAAAGGTATACTTACTGGTTCCTGTTTTGATTTTTCTGCCACTTCTTTACTTCCTAAGGATACATCTTCACCTGTTTAAGAAAACACAGATTTATAATGCTAACCAAGTAGCAAAATCAATAAACTATTGCACCCCCTTATTGCTTCTAAGTATGCATGCCTGCAGATAATTAATAGTTAACAAAGCATTCAAGCATGCATGCATTCATTCAGATATTAAAGAAGATTTTCAAATCAACTACTTGATTCTTACCGAGCTCAGACAAAAGGATTCTTAACCTGTCTCTTCTTTCTGGTGGACCCTCTCCGAACAAAGCTGCAAAGAAAACATCAGATTCTTATTAACATCATGCCTTACGGTTCTATCTTTATTCCAGCATGCTGAATTTGCTCATGTTAACCTTTTACAGTGTACACCCTAACTGCAACAAAAATGTAATACCATATACACACATTATGTAGCTTATATATATACAGGTGGGCCCCCCAAAACAAAGTGTAGTTCACCAAGCTACATGTACAAGAATAGTAAAGATTGATCAACTGAGTTGTCTTCAAACAACTTACTTATTGGTTCACCAATTTCTCGGAGTCTTGCCTTAACTGAAGCATCATCTGTTGGTACAGTTATTGCCCGTGCCTACAATAAAAGACCATCACAACTTTTTTTATTACATCTTATCATAAAAAAGAATTCCACACTAGACAGTCTACACAAAAAGTGTTTCTAACCACCTTGTAGCCACGAGAGTTATTTTTTATCGGTTCTGTCGTTCATCTTTGTTAATTGTAATTAGTGTAAATAGTTCTCATCTCGATAGTTCAGTTCTGTGTTTATTAGTTTGTATTTTTTCGTGCTGTCAAAATGTAAATTAAGTTTGTCAGCGTAGTTTCATATAATCGCCTTTGAGCATTGTGTAACCTTGTTTAGTCTATTGTTTTAGCCTTTATCCGCTATATAACATCATAGTTGTAATTTTTATTCAGTGGTTGTTATTCCGGAGTGCCGTACAGAGCTTGTAAGTAGCTACGCCTTCGTTTGTATTTTCCTGTGTTTTTTCGTATTCATTTCGTTGTATTTCAGTTTCCTTGGGTTTAAGTTCGCATTGTTAATTCTGTACTTTTTTTTTGTGTTATGTATAAGTGAATTGTCGAGATTAAAAAAGGTACGCATTTCAAAGTGTGACGGAGTGTCAGTTACACACCTGATAAAAGCTGTCTCAACCCAGGCAACCCTACAAGTGTAGACTTAGCCTCTATTCTTACAGAACCAAACACACAATAATCAATGCACTCAGGAATTTAAATTACTATCAAAAGCAAATTAAAAATCTGTAATACTTTTCATCAGTAGATGTTATAATGGTTCACAGGAACAAAAATCTGCCACAGTCACTGGTTGGACCGAAGGAGCCAACAACATTTTCTACAATTTAACACAAGCAAAGTCTACAGTCTAAATGAAGCTTTTGAGAAGTAATGTAAGCTACAATGTTACCTTTTTTCTTCTCTCAAATTCTGCCAAAAGTTCCTGATGTCTCTCACTGGTTTGGTCTTCTGACAGCTCTAGGTATTCCCCTGATTTTAAAGTAAAAAACATGTATACGTTATCTAAAATTAAATGCAGACCTCACAATAGACTATGAGTAGTCCCTCCTGTTTAATATCAAGTCTGCTGTGTGAAGGCTAAAAAATAAAGATTCCAGCTGTCAATAGAACCTTTTGAAATTTTTTCAGAGGTAAAAAAGAGCAAGTAATGCAGTGCCATGATGATGCTCAACTAAATCTAAGGAGTGGTACTCAGTGGTAATAACTCAAGACCAATTTATTATGATATTTGCACAAAGCAGTCTGCAATCCAGGTTTTAGATGAAAGAGGTGACTAATTTGTAAACAAACTCTTATTCCACCTCCATGAAAAAAATTGAATAAGAAAACAATTTTGTTTTCAATTAGTTTGAATACATAGAAATCATATATGCATACTGTAATTTAAAGAAATGTATGAATTAGCAATCCTTGCAGTAATGAACACTACTTATAAATGTAGTAGTGAAAATAAGGTCTGAAAAAAAATTCAGGCCTGTACAGTATTTAAACCCATGATCTCAGTGATACCAGTACCAATAATTTGATTTTAGCAGTAGCAAATCCAGTAGTATTTCATCTGAGTTGGTGGCTTCATTTAAGTGGAAAAACCAGTGGAACACAGAGAAAAACTATGCAGCAAGGATGAGAATCAATGAAAAATCCAAGCCACATGCAGCATCAGAATTAGAAATCAAAGCCAAGCCAGACCTATGGGAGGTGACTGCTCACACCATTATATCACTTCTCCTCAATCAATTTTGAGGAGCACACAATTTTACCTTGGAAAAACATGCTGATGACATTTTCCTATGAAACCTCAAAATCTTTTGGGCATTTACAGTGAGTCTAGAACTCTCATTTGTAGTGTATTCTTTTTGGTCTGGAAGTTGCACTTGTTTTCACAGCTATTACCCTTTGATTTGTTCTCACAGCTGAGAGTTCTTGTCAAAAGGTACAGTAGCTTAAGTTACTTGTGGCTATCTTTGCAATTTATTGAAGTCTTTTGACAGTCCTGTGTGTGACTTGAACACAAGCAATGATTTGAAAGATGCTACAGCAGTAATAAGGAATGGTCCGGCTGAAATGTTCTAATATGTGACCTTCTTTGGGAAAACGTACACTAACGATAAATTATTCCGTTAGAGGGTCTAGACCGTTAGCTATCCATTAGTCATCCGTCAGATAAATAAACGAAAACCTTTAGAGGCGTTAGTCAATTCGTTAGCATCTAATCCGTAACCGTTAGAGCATTAGTTGAATTCGTTACAGCGTAAGTTGAATTCGTTAGAGCGTTAGTTGAACCTGTTTGAGCGTTAGTTGAATTCGTTAGAGCGTTAGTTGAATTCATTAGAACGTTAGTTGTATCCGCTAGAACGTTAGCTCAGACCGTTAGAGGAGTTTTTCAGTCGGTTAGTCGTATCTGTGAGTGACGTTAGTAAATCTGTCAGTATCCTGTTGTTTACCTGTTGGAGCGTGAGTCGTATGTATAAAGCATAAGCTCATGTATAAATGATTTTTTCTTCTCTTACCCTCGTGTTATACAGACTGTCGCATCAACTGACTAAAAAGTTCAATGCAGGATTCAGCTAGGGAACATTAATACCTTGCCAAGCCGTGTTGATGAAAATTCTTGATATCTGGTGTGCTCATGGCCTTCAGATCTATCGAAGTTAAACACTATTATTTTATTTTCCTGGAGGAGATAAAAAAATTATCCACGCTCTGTTTGCCATGTTTTCTTTCTTGGCTCCAGGATTCCTTAGGGTTGTTACCCTGGTAACCAATAAATTCCAACATAAAAAACACCAAGCTTTCAAAAATTATTCTTGATTTAAAACTCGAAGTTCTCGGTATACCAAACGATATTCTTCAGCCAGGCGAAAGTTACAGTAAATTGTATGGAATAGAACTTCGATTAAAAGAAACTCGATATAACGAAATTCTAGTTACAACAAACACAATTGAGGATCCCAAACAAAATATAAAATAAAGGCTGATAGTTTCGAAAGAAACTGTTTGGGGCTGCGTCGGTAGGAGTAACGAAAATATTTGGATATATCAACAAAGTTGAAATGGTAAATTGGCCACCGTAACGATTACAAAAGCTGACGTTTCGAAACGTCAGCTTTTGTAGTCGTTACGGTGGCCAATTTACCATTTCAGTTTTGTTGATATGTCCAAACTATTGAGTTATGGATGCACACGAGAGGTTGCTAAGCACGAAAGAGGTGTTAGAGTCACGTGAGTCGATAGCCGAAAGCGACTCTAGCTTCTTGAGTGCTTAGCAAACCTCCCAAGCGCATCCATAACTCAAAAGTGTACGCTGTGGTGTTTACCATTTGTTTTATAACAAAACA